TCTCAGGTATTTCCAAGGCCTACCCTCCTTCCAGCATGGAGAGGAGGTCTACTTCTGGTTCATTTGTCTCAGATATTTTATCTTTTTTCTGGAAATGTGCCGATATGGTCATCTGCTTTTGCTTCTTGGACATGTTTAATGTTTTTCTGTGGCCCTAATAATTAATTTTGTATTTTGGTAGTTTTTTATGTTTTCTGATTGCCTCCAGGAAGATGTGATCAGGTTATGGTCTTCCCTTTTCACTCCTCTTATATCTTAACTCAGAGTAACTTTTATAGGTGTTGCTTGTTTCCCTGGTTTATGGCAGCTGGTATTGGTTCTTGCCTGGGTTTTGGTGTTTTATAAAGTGTTTTTGCAGCTTGGCTATTTGGAAGCAGTTGCTGACTCTTTTCGTGTAATGTAGGGGGACAAAGAGCCCTCCAGTAGCAGAAGGGAGGCTATATGATGGCCAAACAACACCAGTCGGGTAGAAAACAAAACCAAAATCAAAATGAAAAACAAAAGCGGAGTTCTCCGATAGCAGAAGGGAGGCTGTGCTGCCTGGGCAGGGAAGCGCTGGAAGGTGGCTTTTAAATTTTTACAGGAGCTGAAAGCCTCATCTTTCTCCCACAGAGCGACTAGTGGGCTCGAACCACAGACCAGTGGTTATCATATGGAGTCACTGCATTACTGAACATATATATGAGTATACCTAAAAATATAGCATGAAGCGCCTCTGAAGTGTTGCCACACTCAGATAGTCACCTTTATCAAAATGAAATGAAAAGGTAATGGAGTTTTTCCACAAGCTGTTTGAAACCCCCCTCATGTGTGTGTAGTTTATATGTCTGGAATCATATCATATTGCTGTTTTAACCGTGGGTACCTCTTCTCCTGAGTCCTCCTACCCATATACACATGTACGTCCCATACCCCCTCTCCTGGCAAAGTCATGTTAACATTCTAAAATTTGTGCTTCCATCTTTTGCTCAGTGTATTTCCATATGACCCCCCAAAAACACACACACATATATACATAAATTAGAATTTTGTTTCTTTAACAAAAGTGGGGGTCATATACATCTTATCTGAATCTTGCTTTTCTCAATTATTAGTACTTTATGAAAACCTCTCCAAATCATTCTTTTCCATGTCTGTATAATAAATAGTCCTTCCAGAGTGTTTATTTCTAATTCTTGATGACTATGAACAATGTTACAATAAACATTCCTGTAAAACACCCTTCTATACTGGTACTTTTCTATTTTTATGTCTCTGCAGTAGAGTACCAGGAGTGGAATTCCCAGAGCAAAGGTATATGTACTTTGGGCCCATTTTAAATTAGAAAGTGTAACAGGAGTTGCTACATCCCATAACTAACTTTTTGTACATAGGGAATGCCATTTTTGGTGGTGGTGCTAACTTTTCAAACACGTATTAGATCTTATTACTCTTTCTCAGGCACTTTGCAAGTCCTTTTCTAAGTCCTTTTAGTCTAAGTACTTTTAGTCTAAGTACTTTTTAGTCTAAGTACTTTGCAAATATTAATTTATTTAATCTTAATAACAATCCTGTTGTTATTGTTAATTGCCATCAATTGCTTCTGACTGATAACATTCCTGTATAGAGTTTCCGAGGAGCAGCTGGTCGGTTTGAACTGCCAGCCTTATATTATCAGTGCTTATCCTAAGCGCCACACCTGGACTCCAATAGCCCTATTAGGCAGATTATTCCTAATAAAGAAACCTAGGTGATGTAGTAGCTAAGTGTGTTAAGCTGCTAACAGAAGGTCTGTAGTTTGACCAATCGTGTGGGAGAAGAGACCCAGCCATCTGTCCCTGTGAGGGCTTCAGCTAGGCCCTAAGGGGCAGTTCTGTTTTATAGGATCACTATGAGTTGGAATTGAAACAACAGTACACATTTTTCTTGTTGAGGATACTGAGACTCAGAGAATTAAGTAACTCTGCAATACCTAAATGTTTAAATTAAAAAATAATTAAATATTTCCTGTAAGTTTAGTAGTTCAAACTCATCAGTTGCTCCTCAGGAGAAAAGTTGAGACTTTCTACTCCTCAAAAACCCTGTACAGAGTTGCTGTGAGTTGTAACCAACACCTCTCACCACTTCAACTGGACAATAATTCAGCTCCCTCTGTCCCCTTAGGACTATGCTGATTTAAGAATTGGTAAAACCCACATGGGACTGAAAGAATCTTCAATTAAGACATCATGTTTTTGTAGCTCATTTTTATAAAAATAAAATATATAATTTATTTATTTTGAGCATTTTGTTGTGCTTTAGGTGAAAGTTTACATAGCAAATAAGTTTTCCAATCAGTAATTTGTACACAGATTGTTCAGTGACAGAGGCTATAAGCCCCTCGGTGTGTCAGCACTCTCCCTGTGGTCTCCCTGTTTTCATTCTTGTGGTTTTCCTGTCCCTGCCATTATTGTCATACTTGGTTTTGGACAAATGTTGCCCTTTTGGTCTCATACAACTAATCATTCTAAGGAGCACATTCTTTACGGATGTTATTTGATACAACTTAAGCTTCTTAATAAGGAGCTCTGGTAGCATAGTGGTTACGAATCGGGCTGCGAACCGCAAGCTCAGCAGTTCGAAACTACCAGCTGTTCCGCTGGAGAAAGAGGAGGCTTTCTGCTCTCATGAAGATTTACAGCCTCAGAAACCCTGTACAGGGTCGCTATGAGTCAGAACCAACTCCACGGCACATCAACACCACCACCACCAAACTTCTGAATAATTCAAACCACAACCTCTATTTTATCTAAATTCTCTTTAAAAATAGGAGATAATTTTATAACTGTGCATACTGTGGAATAGATTGGAATAGGACACCATATGTGTGTATGGTGGTGTAGAGCCCACTGTGCCCCCTGCTCTCAGCCAGGTTGGCTTATTCACCGTCCCGTGAACATGCCTTATGCTTAGCTGCCTCACCATGCTGTGGCCCATGGTTTTCCCTCTTTTAAAATCATACAGGCTTTTGTAGTCCTGGTGCGGTGCTGTAGGATAAGCATTAAACTGCTAACTGCAAGTTTGGTTGTTTAAACCTATGAGCCACTCCTCAGAAAACATATACAAGATCACTATGAGTTGGAACAATAACCTACAGTGTTTTAAGATCCAAAGACTCTTCTTTTTCTTTCAGCCCAAAGTAACATCTATCTTGAGATTTGTCTCCATTCCACGTGTTTGGCTGTAATGGTGTGGCATTCAGTGTAGTGCATTTTCTTTTACTGCCTGAGTTGTAAGTTGTTGTGATTTGAGAGGTAATATAGAAGAAGGGGTTAAGAGCATGGACTCCAGAACTAGACTGTTATTGTTGTTGAGTGCTGTCGAGTCATATCCACCATACCAGGACTCCATGTAATAGGCACTTGCCCTCAAAGAGCTTAGAAACCAATTGAGCGTATAATAAAAATCCTGACAATCACAGCCTGCACTTACATAGCTCTTAATATGCACCAAGAATTGTTCTAAATGCTTCTCATATATAAACTCATTTAATCCTCACCAACACCCAGGGATAGTTAAAATGAGAAAACAGAGCACAAAGACATACGGTAATTTGCCTAAGATCACACAGCTAGTAAATGGCAGGGCTAAGATTTAAACGCAGCCAGTCTGGTTCTGGAGTCCTGGTGTGGCACTGTAGGATAAGCTTTGGGCCACAAGTTGTTTGAACCGCAACGTCAGTGGTTCACACTCCCCAGCCACTCCTCAGAAACCCTCTCCAGGGTCACTATGAGTCAGAAGTGACTCGACTACACTTAACAGCAAAAGCAAGCTTTTACATGTTGTGTTTCTCACAAGGCCTAGCCTAGATTTTAATTCGCTGATGAATGTTTATTGATTTCATTTAAATGAAATGAATAGTCCATGAGGTAAAGCTCTGGACGGCTATATATACCAAGGTGCATTAGTCAATAACATTGGGTAGCTAGAATTACAGCAATTCAGTATGTTCTTTTTGCTGCCTTTATTGTCTGATTTTTCTATAATGCATACGTACTACGTTTATAGTAAAAGTATAGTTTTCATCAGCTGAGTAAGAAAAATGAAATTAAATTCACATTCAGAGGCGCAGTGTATGATTGTAGAATTTTCTATTATTCCTTGTAGATGAATTTACATTTCTGAATACTATTCATTCTGCTCTTTTATTTCACTTCTTACTGTCTCTCAACTTGACTCTCTTTCCTATTCTTAATGGCTAATATTTGCAGTTTTTAAAATGCCTAATGAAACGGATTTTTACTTGATGACAGTGATTACAGCCACTTTGCATTCATGGTTCTTTTGGTTTATTTGTAGGTTATGGTGCTGCTCTCTGGAGTAATAGCTTTCATGGTGAACTTATCAATTTACTGGATCATTGGGAACACTTCACCGGTCACGTATCCTTTTCATAATCACTTATAAATGCATCTGTTGTTGTTAAAGTACTGCCCGTGGGTTCCAACTCACAGCGACCCTGTATAGGTCTTCTAAGGAGCAGCTGGTGGATTTGAACTGCCGACTTCACGGTTAGCAGTCCTTACCCTACGCCCACACATCAGGATTCCTTCACATGTATTTGTTGTTGCTGTTTTGTGCCATTGAGTAGGTTCCCACTCATAGCGACTCTGTATAGGGTTTCTGAGGAGCAACTGGTGGGTTTTAACTGCTGACCTTGTGGCTCGCAGTCCAGTGCTGACCTTACAGTGCCACACATGGAGTCTTGCAAATGGGTAGTCTTTCATATTTTCCAAAGTAGTCCTACTCACTGCCTTCTTCTAGTCTCACACTTCCTACCACATGGCTTAGTTAATTAGAGTGGGTAATTTTTATTTTTTTTATTGTCGTTTCCTATTAAAGTCTGTGGGAAGATGAGCTAGCCTTCTGTACCATGAATATTTTTTTAATTTCTTAAATAATATGTCACTGTTTTCTTATAAAAATTAAATGGAACGACATTTCTTGCACATGGTAGCATCAAGTATTTGTTGAATGAATGGATAGTAGAGTGAAGATTTGGACTTTCAGCCAATTTTCAGTTATCTTCAGTAGTAAAATAGAAAGATCTTTCATCCAGATTATAAAAGATGTTGTCAAGCCATTGGCATCTGACTTGAGTATGTGTTTGTACTTATTCAGAGATGGGTGTGCCTATTTTTCTGAATGTTACTTTAGGAAAATAAGTCAGTCATGAAGGTCTAGGTCCAGTTCAGCTGCCCCTTTTCACCCTTCTGCTGGTTATTCTCTTTGTTTTAGGATTTCCTTCTGCCCTCCAGCCCTCGCCCCCACACACTCATCAGCAAATACAAAGAATGGACGCCCTCAGATCAAAGAGTAGTTCAGTAACATCATCTCAGAGTGTACTGGTTTTTATGGGACTGTATACTGAAATGTCAACAAATAAGCAATAGTAGTTGTTGCCAGATAGCAAGCAGCAGCATTGGTAATAATCATATATATATATATTTTAAGACCAACACAATGATATCTGTTTATTTTGTACCAGGCCATGTTTAAAGGTCATTTATTCCACAGCCATTCTGTGAGGTGAATTCTGTCATTGAATTTTCAGCGGAGGAAATGAAATGCAGATTAAACAACTCATATTAGGTCATATTAGATGTTTGAGAAGCATGATGTTCACATTTGAACTCAGGCAGCACTTAACAACAACAGTCTAGTCCCAGAACTTGTGCAGTCAGCACCAGGTTGTACTATGATTAAGAACATAGTTCATCTTTCACTCATTCAACAAATATTTATTACTTACCCACTATATTGGATTCCTGGTGTGGTGCTGTAGGGTCAGCAGGGGACTGCAAACCACAAGATCTCCAGTTCAAACACACCAGCTGCTCCTCGGAAACCCTATACAAGATCGATAGGCGTCAGAACTGAATCAATGGCACTTAACAACAACATAAACCGTTCAGTAAGGAGCTCCAATAGTGTAGTGGGTTTTGTGTTGTGCTGCTACCCACAAGATTGGCAGTTCGAATCCACTAACAGCTGTTCAGGAGAAAGATGAGGCTTTCTGGTCCCACAAAGATTTACACCCTTAAAATCCCCCTATACAAACTCGCTATGAGTGGGAACCACTGCCACTTTAAACCATTCATTGATTTGATAAATATTTTATTGAATACCTGCTATGTCAGGCACTGTAGATATAGTATAGAATCAAATACACAAAAATCTTGGACTCACAGGCTTAAATTCTGGTAAGGAAGACAAGACTACAAATATGTGTCCTAGTGTGGTGCTGAAGGATAAGCACTAGACCACGAGGTTGTTTTGAATCACAAGGTGGCGGTTCAAACCCACCAGCTACTCCTTGGAAACCCTATACAGGGTCCATATGAGTCAGAACCAACCTTGCAGTTCAAATTGACTTTGAGGTCCTGTGCATTAACCCACAGCACCACACTAGCACACCAGGACACACAATCTCTCTCTCTTTATATATATCAAACTGGCTTTGCAGTCTAATTCATTAACCTATAGTCCCACACCAAGACACTCTTTCTCTCTTTGCATATATATATGTTGTTGTTAGGTACCGTGGAGTTGGTTCCTACTCATTGTGACCCTGCACAGGATTTCTGAGGCTGTAAATATTTATGGGAGCAGAAAGCCTCATCTTTCTCCCGTGGAATAGCTGGTAGTTTTAAACTGTCGACCTTAAGGTTAGCAGCCTGATTCGTAACCACTTTGCTACCAGAGCTCCATATATATATATATATATAGTTGTTATGTGCCATGGAGTCGGTTCCAACTCATACCGACCCTGTACAGGGTTTCCGAGGCTGTAAATCTTTACGGGAGCAGCACGCCTCATCTTTCTCCCACAGAACAGCTGGTAGTTTCGAACTGCTGACCTTGTGGTTCACAGCCCGATTTGTAACCACTATGCTACCAGAGCTCATATATATATTTATATATTTGTGTGTGTGTGTGTGTATGTAGGTATGTATGTATATATATGTGTACATATCCTTTTAATCCTTGGAACTTATAACAACCTAATATTTTATATATACATACATACATGTTGTTGTTTGTTATTAAGTGCTGTTGAGTTGGTTCTGACCCATAGCAACCCTGTATAGGGTTTCCAAGGGGCAGCTGGTGAGCTTGAACCACTGTCCTTATAGTTCAAATGGTTTTGCAGACTGGTGCATTAACCCACAGTGCAACACCAGGACTCCACATACATACATATATATGTATGTGGTGTAGTGGGTATATGTATATACATATATATGTGTGTGTGTGTGTGTGTGTGTATATATATACACACACACATGTATGTGTATATATGTATGTACGTATGTGTACATACATATGTGTATATGTATACATGCATGCATATGTATATACATCACACACACATATATATATATATGTAAAGAGGGAACTTTATGTATTCTGGGAGGCGGGGGCACTGGAGGAGTGGTATGGAGTGTGACACCTAGCTTGTGGTTTTTATTGTCCTTATCTAAGAACTTCAGTTACAACATGTTTGGACACTTCAAGTTCTGCATTACCTTATTTGGAGGATATGTTTTATTTAAAGATCCACTGTCAATTAACCAGGGTCTTGGCATTTTATGTACATTATTTGGCATTCTCGCCTATACTCAGTTTAAACTCAGTGAACAGGAAGGAAATAAGAGTAAATTGGTACAACGTCCTTAATTACGTGTTTGTGGAGAAAAGAAAGTTGCCTCAAGAAGATAGAAATGTTGTCAAATATGCAGATTACTTCCAAAGAAGAAAAAAAATAACAGTGCAAAATTTATTGAATCATGGATTGTAGGAAGTAATGCAAAAGGAATTTTATTCATAAATGTGACTTTTTTTAAAGGACCTTTTTTATTATTCTCTAAAATAAAAGTGGATCATTCTCCTTTTCAAAAATGACTATATGAAATATGAAGTACATACAGTGGCTTGGTTATACCAAATGAAGTACATGAGAATAAAAATTCTATAGTAATGACAAAGGAGTTAGTATTACTGTATTACAAATGTGTTGTGATGTGAAAACATTTGGGTTTTTTTAAGGAAGGGCACCTATGACTCCTCTACATTGCTAGAAGATGGCTTCTAATTTTTCAATTTTGGCCAAAGTGTTCCAGTCAGATTTTAAATCTAGCATACCTATTTTAATTGGTTTCATTCAACTTCTGAGTTTTTAAAAAGCAAAGTGTATTAATGAAGGTGATCCAGAAGACAAAAATCTAATTCTAAACATACTATTTTCTAGTAGAAAATTGATATGAGAGATAGGTTATCACACACACACACACACACACACAAAATAGAAAAGCAACAACAGTAAACTACAGTTTCTGTCATAACTGATACAAGGCTAATTTCAAAATGTGAAGCTACTTCACATTCTTACCTTCCCATTTCATCATACTGACACCAATTACCCATGTGGCACTTTCTGCCCCCAACCACCCAGAGTTTGGTCTCCACAAGGTAAGACTCTGTCCTTCCAATCTCTGCAAATAGGCAAACACAAGCCTTTGCTGGCTCTCCTGCCACCCATGGGTTCTATAATTTACGAGAATGACTCACAGAACCCATAGAGACTACCTCTACTTGTAATTACCAGTTCATTACTATAACCAGAAAGGGTACAAAGCAGAGACATATTAGGCAAGGTCTGGAAGCAGTCTCTGCATGAGACTTCCATTGTCTGCAGGGTTGTTCTTGCAACTCTAGGAAGTCCAAAAGAGGACCTTCCAGGGTCCCCTCATCATTGCAGCCCAGTGCATCTGAACGGCTACAGTCTCAGTATACAGGTGTGAGTCAGTGTGTTTGATTGAGTCTCTCTTGCGTCCTCCCTTTTGGAGGTTTGCTGCCAGAATGGGGTCAGCAGAGCTGCTACTCGGTCACCTACATTGATGTGTTGCCTGGTTACTTTATAAAAGTTCCTTGATTGCTGGCAAATTCTAAGACGTCTTTTCTGAAACCAGAGTTTCTTACAGTAGGTATTCTCTTATAGAGCTGTCAGTGAACTCTAGAATCTTATGTGCAGAGTTCAAAAACAGATTAGCCTCACATGTATGTAACTGAAAGAAAAGACAATAGATGGATTGGACAAGTTTCTTCTTACCCTAGTTACTGCTGCATCCCAGCCTCTCTGAGCATTCCATATTGGCAGATAGGTTTGTTTTTGTTTTTGTTTATGGTGAAAATTCACATGACAAGGGGTACATCCACTCAACAAAAGGTGAACATTGTTTATTAAAGTGAGCTGACTCATCCTTTACTTCATATTGGTGACTTCTTAATGCCTCTTCCCTGCTGCCACTCCCTACCCATCTCCTTTACCGCATCCATACAGCTTGCTTTGGAATTTGGGTTTGGAGTGAATTATGTTCAGCCTTTCTAAGGTGACTGTGGACAATTTCTAAGCAGCAACACGGGCTAATGTTACCCAAACACCAAGAAGAAACTTGTGAAAATATGAGAGATTTAAAAGAGGAATTGAGTTTTTAAAGGGATACGTTAAGAGAAATGGTGGATGAGAGGGAGGACTGATTGCCACTTAGGGAAATACAGTGTTCATATTTAATTCTAAGACGTATTCCTGCTTTTCAGCTTCTTGACTTTCAAGCATTAAAAATAGTTAATATCTCGCACAATAAATTGACTGAGTCCGTAACCCCTCTTGCAATCAACTTTAAGTGAGGAGAAAATGAACAGGACAAAGAGCCATGTGTATAAAATATACCCTTTGAATATTTTTATGGACGATATTAAATGCAAAGCTTCACTGAAAATCTGTTTTGACAGAATTTCAATTTAGCAATCAATTCATTGTGTGTGTTTTTTTGTTTTTGTTTTAAACATTCTTCACTTCTCAGTTTACAAAGAGGGATTTTATTGTGCTTAAAAAAAGAAACTTGTCATTACCAGATGAGCCTTTGGTATTATATTTGTCTAAGAAATGTACTATTTGTATGTTTAAATTATTGTGTAATTATTTCCCCAAAACTGGAGAATAGCCTTTCAGCACAGTGAGAATTATGTGACATGAATTGAGAAGAGCTGGGTAGATTTGTGCCATGTACAAATTTTTAACTGTAAAAGTACTCAGGGCTGTTTGGAGGATTATAATAAATGACTGATATCAATAGGAATATAGTCAGAAGGTTGGGGCAAGACAGGGTGGGGATACATGTATATAAATGAATAAAATATGTACTGTTAGAACTAGAGTCTGATGAACATTTTTTGCCCTGAAGGTGATCATCCCATTGAAAAGGAAGTTCCTGGGGTGGGGGGTGCAGTACAGTAGGTTATCGGGACCATCAGGAGACCAACCAGAAATGCAATGCTATTGAAGAAAACACGCTGTCCTTTTGTTACCAATGTTATTGGACTTATTTTTTATCCCATGTTAAATGAACTTCAGTTTATGATTGTGACTAATACTTATTTCATACTAGAACCAGAGGAATAAAGATAGCATCTGTGTGATCAATGGTAATACTTCTTAGTCCAACTATCAAATATTGTCAAAGACTTCATTTTGTTTGGATCCTCTGTAGATACTCATGGAAGTGGCAGTCAAAGAAATCAAGTGATGTATTAGGCAAACCTACTGCATAAGACGTCTTCAAAGTGTTCAAGAGCAAAGATGTCAGTTTGAAGACTAAGGTGTGCCTGACCCACGCCAGGGTGTTTTCAATAACCTCATATGCATGTGAAAGTTGGACAGTGAATACGGAAGACTGTAGAAAAATTGATGCATTTGTGTCATGATGTTGGAGAAGCATATTAAAAGTACCATGGACTGTCAGAAGAACAAACAAATTTGTATTGGAAGAAGTCCAGCCAGAATGCTTCTTAGAAGCCAGGATGGCAAGACTTCATCTCTCAATCTTTGAATACGTTATCAGGAGGGACCATTCCCTAAAGAAGGACATCATGCTTGGTATAGTGGAGGGTCAGTGAAAAAGAGGAAGAACCCCAACAAGATGGATTGCCACAATAGCAGCAGCAATGAGCTTAATTGTAACAAAAATTATGAGGATGGTACAGGATCAGACAGTGTTTTGTTCTGTTGTGCTTAGATACACTATGATTTCAACTACATTGATGGCACCTAAGAACTGTGGTTGTTAATGTGCTGGATTGCAAAGTTAGTTTGCACTGCAAGGTTGGTGGTTCAAGCTCACCAGTTGCTCCTCAGAAACCCAGTACAGGGTTGCTATGAGTTGGAACTGACTTGACGGCATTCTTAACAACAACAGATGAAACAAAATTCCAACCTCCCTATTAAAATAACAGGAGAAATCTTTCTTGGTGAAATTAAGCAAGCTTTCTCCTGCTTACCTCGTTATTTTAAAACCATTAATTTTTTTTTTAATTAACAATGTTAATTAAGCACTTCACATCAACTTCAAAAAAAAAAAAAAAAAGGGGGGTATGGGGACTCACCAGCACAAAGTAGATTCTTATGAGGCACAGATCAGACATGCTTTGATCCTTCCTGACCAACTGTCCCTCTCCTCTCTGCTGAGCTCATTAATCCTTTCCCTTCCCATGGTTGAACAGAACTCGTAGACAATACTCATGGTTATGGGGCTTATTAGGGATGTTAACAGGTTACCATTCAGGATCAAAAATGCTTAGGACACACTTCTTTCCATCAGGAGTGCCTCTTCTCAGTAGTTACTACAGGCTTGCCTCTCTCTGATTCTTGATTTCTCAGTGATGCAATCCCTTGACCTCTGGCTCTGCTCAGGCAAATGTTACAAAGCTCCTTTTGTGCTGCTGATAAATGCCTAAAGGGCGCCCTATTTGGTAAGCCAGCCTCCTGCCCAAAGGTTACTCATTCTGTGGGCTGGGAAGCCCACTGCTCTGCCTTGGCTTTGGCTCTTGGTTCTGCTGCCACCATTTTTCGGTGAGGACATCTCTGGGTTCAAAGAATTCGTTCTGTTCCTGGCTCTTCTTCCTGGATGGTCCTGAGGTCCCACCATTCTGATACATTTGAAATCCAGCTGGATGGCAAAACTGAGCAATCCCCACATCAGAGTTTTATACACCCTATTTGCTTGCTTCCACATAATTATTTGGTAATTATAAAGGCTATGGCTAGAAAAGCCATAATTCACTATACCATATCACCCCATCAGTAAATGCTTGTTGGGTGAGTGTATGGATGTGTAACATAACCAAAAATGAAAGTCTACTTAAAAGAATAATGTCAACCAGATTTATTAGATATATTCTGTTTTGCATTTCTAGTCCCAAACTTAAAACAGATTATTCCTCCTAATCTTAAAGAACTTCAGCATATGATGGTTTTTGTTAGATACCATCAAGTCAGTTCCAACTCATAGCAACCCTATACACAGCAGAATCAAACACTCCCTGATTCTACCATCTGCTGCAACTGTGTTTATTTCCTTGGTGATCTTCCTCTTTTTCGCTGACCCTCGACTTTACCATGAATGATGTCCTTCTCAGGGACTGGTCCCTTCCAATAACATGTCCAAAGTATGAGAGATGAAGTCTCACCATCCTGGTTTCTAAATAGTATTCTGACTACTTCTAACACAGATTTATTCTTCTGGCAGTCCGTGGTACATTCAATATACTCCAATATCATACAAATGCATCGATTTTTCTATGGTCTTATTTCCAATTTTCACATGCATATGAGGTTATTTAAAATACTATGCCTTTGGTCAGGTATACCTTAGTCCTCAAACTGATATCTTTGCTCTTGAACATTTTA